CTGACATAAGAGGAAACAAAGTTAACAGGCTTCCTGTGCTGTGGTCACATAGCTAGGTCCAAAACCTGGACCAGTCAGCACCACCAAGCCACTTGTCCTCACAGATCGATGTTGCCTATGCTGTAGAGAACGTAGTTAGTGCTGAGATGCTTGGTCTAAGTAAGAGAATAGATGAGGACTGTCAGAACCAACTTAATCTGCCTAGGGTTTTTTTCCCATAATAGTTCCAAACCTCAGCTTTATCTGTAAGACCACTTTTCACAATCCTCTGATTCTTCTCACGTAGCTCAGCAGCAGCTGTGTTAGGAGAGGCTCACAGAAAAGTGGACTTCCGTCTCCCACCTCACAAATGATTTGGACTTCCAGGTCTCATAGATGATAATGAAAGCCCAGAAGCAGCTGCTCTGCGAGAGCTGGAAGAAGAAACTGGCTATAAAGGTGATGTTGCTGAATGTTCTCCAGGTTTGTATTGCTTTCCAGGGGTGCACTGGGGACAAACTGTTAGCCAAGCAGATTCTTCTGTATATAAAAGGATTGATGCTTTGGGTGTTCTTTATGGGCAGAATTCAGATAACTTTTATTTCACCTAATTCACTGAAGAGAAATCCTAATTAGATTTGGGCACATAAATTTCCTGTCTCCTCCAAATGAGAGGAAGTTTGAACAGGAAGGCCCTGAAACTGGAGAAGAATTAGGAAATTGTGTTGCCTTCCAGAGTTTCTCACATCTGAGCTTTATTATATACACACCTTATGCACATGCTATGCTCCTTTAGAGGTTTTTTTCTTCATGTAGTAAAAGGATTTACAACATGTTAGTAGTACCATCTAACCCCTCAGACTTACCAAATGTTACTCAGGAACTCTGGGGAAAATTCCTACAGCATATACTGACTAGAATAAACTAGTTTTCCTGCATCAATTCTGTGTTAAAGAAATTATGAGACCAGTCTTCTTCCGAAGACATTTAAGTCATGAAACATGACATCTGACTGGTGTCTGTAAAGAATACCTGCTGCTTCTCTCCATAGCTACATGTATGGATCCAGGTTTGTCAAACTGTACCACACACATTGTGACAGTAACCATTAATGGAGATGAGGCTGAAAATGTAAGACCCAAGCCAAATCCAGGTAAGTGAGCTACGTTGAAGGTAGATGAACTCCATTAAATATTTTTTAACTTCTAAGTTACTAGATTGATTTTTGATTGGTCAAAAGAATAATTGTCTTTTGCAGAAGCTTCATTAGTACTCCTGGCTATTTTCATAATCTTGTGTATTTTAGCATTTTTCTTTTACCTCTTATTTGATTTTTATGGTTTCTTCATATAAAATGTTAAATTACACATTTCCATATTTTCTGTATGAAGCTAAATAGTAAACAGTGAAGAGCATCAAAATCACTGATTTCTGTCTTCATATTTATAGGAATGGCATAAGTAATTATTACAGAACAGTAGCTTAACTCTTCTTACTGAGTTCCATTATTTAGAAAAGCTTTTAATAAATTCTTTGCTCATTATTTCTTTGCAAGTTTGGAATTAGAAGCTTTAATGCCTCTCTCAGTTCCTCACCACTCCTTTAAACAAGGTGATCATACATACACCACAAGAAATCCTGTATGAGTGATATCCTCCATTTCCCATACTTTAGTTGTTCCTAAATGTTTTGGTATCCCATTGCAGCTTATTTTAAACTAGAGGCCTGGTGCATGAAATTCGTGCACGGGTGGGGGGCGGGTGTCCCTCAGCCCAGCCTGCACCCTCTCCAATCTGGGACTCCTCAAGGCATGTCTGACTGCCCATTTAGGCCCGATCCCTGTGGGACTAAATCAATAGAATTTAGAATCCCCACAGGGGTTTGGGCTTAAATGGGCAATCTGGCATCCCTCTCACAATCCAGGACTGCTGGCTCCCAACTGCTTGCCTGCCTGATTGCCCCTAACTGTCCTCCCCTGCAGGCCTGGGTCCCCCCCTGCCTGTCCTCCCCTGCAGGCCTGGGTCCCCCCCTGCCTGTCCTCCCCTGCAGGCCTGGGTCCCCCCCTGCCTGTCCTCCCCTGCAGGCCTGGGTCCCCCCCTGCCTGTCCTCCCCTGCAGGCCTGGGTCCCCCCCTGCCTGTCCTCCCCTGCAGGCCTGGGTCCCCCCCTGCCTGTCCTCCCCTGCAGGCCTGGGTCCCCCCCTGCCTGTCCTCCCCTGCAGGCCTGGGTCCCCCGCAACTGACCTCCCCTGCCGCCTGGTTGCCTCCAACTGCCTTCTCCTGCAGGCCTCGTCTCCCCCAACTGCCCTCCCCTGCAGGCCTGGGTCCCCCCCTGACTGTCCTCCCCTGCAGGCCATCTTGTGAACACATGGGGGTGGCCATCTTGTGTGTTGGAGTGGTGGTCAATTTGCATATTACCTCTTTATTATATAGGATGCTTGATTTTTAAAGTAGCAAACTGATGTGGCAATTACTCTCATAGGTATATACCTAATTATACTCCTAGAAATTGAAAGCAGGGGTTCAAACAGATAACGTGTACACCAATGTTTGTATAGCATCTCGTAGTACCCTAAAGGTTCCATTAACAGATGAATGGATAACAAAATGTGGTACACTCATATAATGGAATAACATTCAGCCACAAGAGAATAAAATGTGCGATACATGCTACAACTTGGATAAACCTTGGAAACATTGTGCCAAGTGAAAGAAGCCAGACTCAGAAGGGCAAATACAGTGTGACTGCATTAATATGAGATACCTGGAGTCAGTGCATTCATAGAGACAGAAAACAGAATAGAGATACAGGGATGGGGAAGTTAGTGTTTACTAGTAATGGGTACCAGGTTTCCATTTGGGATGATGAAAAAGTTCTGGAGATAGATAGTCCTGATGTTTGCACAACAATGTGAATCTATTTAAAACCACTAAATTATAACTTTAAAAATGATGAAAATGATAAATTTTGTGACCCAGGTTCCTATTATATTCTTACTAGAGGCCAGGTGCACAAATTCATGCACCAGTGGGGTTCCCTCTGCCTGACCTGCATGATCAGGCCAAAACCGGCTCCCCCAAGGGGTCCCGGATTGCGATTGCAAGAGGGTGCAGGCCAGGCCGAGGGACCCCACCAATGCACGATAGAGGCCGAGGAGGGACACCGGAGGTTGGCCAGCCAGGGAGGGCCATGGGATGGCTCCAGGGCGTCTCCAGCCCATCTTGCTCAGTCCTGATCAGTCGGACCCAGCAGCAAGCTAACCTACTGGTCAGAGCGTCTGCCCCCTGGTAGTCAGTGCACATCATAATGAGCACCTGGTCAATCAGTCGACTGCCCCTGGTGGTCAGTGCACGTCATAATGAGCAGTTGAGCGGCATTAGTATATCATTAGCATATTACTCTTTGATCGGTTGAATGGCCAACCAGACACTTAGCATATTAGGTTTTTATTATATAGAATAGACGTTTTATTTTCAAAGACCAATATGTTCTGAGTTAGCACTCATGCAGATTGCACTGATGTTAAGAAAAGATGGAAGGCCCTGGCTGGTGTGCTCAGTGGTTAGAGTGTCGGCCCAAGCATCTAGGTGGCAGGTTCCATCCCCTGCCTTGTTGGGGCACATGCTGGAGGCAACCAATCGATGTGTCTCTCTCACATCAATGTTTTACTCTTTCGCTCCTTTTCACTCTCTAAAGATCAATAGTAAAAATATCCTCAGGTGAGGATTAACAACAAAAAAAGGTGTAAGTGGGATGGGTGCAGTTTCCAGCATCTTAAGCAATTAGAAAATATTCTCCTTCCTCCCTTCCTCCCTCCCTCTAAAGTTGACAGGCAGCCACCATCCGCCTCCACCTTTCGTTTTGTCCAGGGACTGTTACTCTCAGATTCGCAGGTCCCATGCAAGCATGCATTTAACTTTCCTCTCAATCCCACTACTTCTGGCTCCTGGGCCAGAAAGCATGTTAGGCAGCCCTTCTGAGCACTTTATAGCCTTTATTATTTGTCTTGCACAAAAATCTTCCAATGTTTTACCACTCCAGGCCTTGCTAAAATTTTCTCCTTCTGTTTATTTTCAGGAGATGGAGGTATGTTATTCAACTCCCAGTGGCTGACAATGTATATGGCTCGATGTAGTGGTAATGGCTACAGGCATTTTGTGTTGTTCTGGTAGGCTCCCCTGTTCTTTAGCTTTGTTTTCACCTGCAGTTTGTTTGTTTAGAATTTGTGGAAGTGATTTCCTTACCGAAGAATGACCTGATGAAGAGACTTGAAGGTAAGCTTTCTTGAGATTATTTCCCAACTTTCTCCAGTTTCCCCCTCCCCATCCCCAGCAAAGGGGAACTAGATAGAATTATTTCTTTATATTCTTCCTCCTTAAAGTCAAAAACCTAGAAACTATTGTAAAACTGCAGTTGGCCAATAATAATTTTCCTTTCTGGTGGCATAAAATTTGAAAATAGAGCAAAATGTTCCATGTCAATGAAAGCTTTCAGCCAGGGGCTTTTTTCTCCTATAGAAGGGTCAAAATTATATTCCCGCTAATTAGCCCAAACTATTCTACACCTTAAAATCTTTAACCCATGACAATGCAGTGGCATAATTAGATGTCACTTAGCTGATTCTCAAATATGCTAGTATGTTAGCTGGTTCTTTGTGCAGGTATATGCTAAAGGAGAATTGAACAATATTCCTTCTATAAATATTGATATCTACTATATGCTAAGTGCAGTGTGCTGATATAATCAACCATACTAACTAGCAGGGTGACCCTTAGTAAATTATTGGTCATATGTTACATTGTGAAATTCCTAGCCAGCCCATCTGTTAGGGATTTTGTTAAAATAAATAAGGTTATATGGACAGATGTCCTTTGATGTATGTACATCAGGATATACTGTACTGTAGACATGACAGAGACCTTTTAAGAAGCTTCTCTATGCAGGCTGGGTAGGTGCCTATGCACTCATTTAATTTTTATTTCAAAAATTAATTCGAATCACTGTTTCACCTGAAGCTTTGAGAACAGTCTCTTTCTTCCTTAAGTACCAATGGCTTACAGTTTTATTTCTAATGTCGATGTTGCTTATTTGAAAAGTAAAGTAGGTCTTTCAAAAACTGCTGTGATTTCAGATTCCCAGAAAGTTTCCATTCCTACTTTGCTGTTTTAAAAACTAGACCTAAGGTAAAAGCCACCTCCAGATTCAAAGTCAAAATTAGAAATACTTGTACTGAAAAGACTCAGTCATTTATTAGGTATTTCCTCAGATAAAGCCGTGGCCATCAATTACAGGCAGAATTTAACTGACAGATCTGACTGGATTAGAGGCTCAAACATGTATTAGTTATGACTTTGAACAAGTTTCATAGCCTCTCTGAGCTTTTCTCATGTATGGAACAATAGACAGCCCCTGTGTCTGAGATGACATGAGTAAACGGGATAATGTTGACACACAGTGCTTAAATGTTATATGCTCTTTTATTATTTTTTTATATCAGAAAATTGTTTTTTAGATTCCTTCTTCCTTCCACCTAAGTTAACTTCCCTTCTGGCCTTAGAAGAGGGAGAAATAAAGAGCAAGAGAGGGAGGAAGGTAGAGGGTTATATAGAAGGGGGAAGGGTAAAAGAGCCAGTTTTCCTAGCTTTACTAGAATCGAAAGATAGTAATCAAATCATTTATCCATCACATTTGAGAAGTAGGAAGGAAGGTTTTTGAGTTCAGTTTGCTACAAGGAATAAGCTTTCAACACTTACCAAGCACCTGCATTCAGATGAGTAGGACATAAACCTGCCTCCAATGATTAAAATGTCTCAGCTTGTCCCTAAACAAGTGACTAAGAAAACAAGAGACAAATTTGAAGTCTGATAACCTCCATTAAGTTCTTTGTAATAAGATTCTGAGATCTCATTCTTGATAGAATTCTAATCCTATCATGCACACAGTTAACGTTACGTGCAAAATTATCTATCCCCTAGCGGCGGGAAAGACACACAAATGGATCTTCAATAACTGAGTATTCATAACTATATAGCTTCATAGTAGCAGAGTCCAATAGTGAGCTATAACTGAAAAAGTGAATCTATAAAGCTTTGCTATTTTAACACACAAAGTCATCATCTCTGATATGTATGCTCTTCTATCTTTATTCTTAATTTTTTGTTGTTCTTGTCCCAAGCTGGAATGTAACACTGCTTTTATATCCTTTATTCTTCCACTAGAGTAAGATCTTTGAAGGCAAAAAATGTCTTGTTCACCACTGTATTACCAGCATCTAGCATAGGGACTGGTATAGAGTAATTGCCTAGTAAATATTGAATGACAAGGGGGGTATTACCTTTCATTAACATCATTGTCTAACGTGTCTCCTTTGCTTCCTGTAGCACTGGTAACTGAAGAACATCTGACAGTGGATTCTAGGGTCTATTCCTATGCTCTGGCGCTGAAACATGCAAATACCAAGCCATTTGAAGTGCCCTTCCTGAAATTTTGAGGCCAGAGGAGAGTAGCCATGTTTTTGTTTTATAAACGAGGCCATAAGGTCTCCTTCACTGAGACTTTGTATTCAGCTAAGTTTGATGGAAATGTAAAATCACCTTTTTCATAAAATAAGAGCAACAAAAAATGCATGTGGTAGTATGGAATTATAATTATAGGTAGGCTATTGCCTTCATGTAAATGCTAAATGCAAATATGTTTAATCCATTTTTTTTAACTTCAGCTGTTATCTAACCTAATCCAAGAAATAGGGGTTAGAAGAGACCTGAATTCTAAATTAGGTCAACTACTCCTACCTCAAACTCCCAACATAAAATTCTATAGCCGATGGCCTACCTGATTTTGCTCAGTGTTTAGAGCATTGACCCTAGGACAGAAAGGTCACGGGTTCAATTCCTGTTAAGGCTGTACCTCAATTGCAGGCTCAATCTGATCCCTAGGCCCTGCCTGCAGGAGGTAACCAATCCATATGTCTGTCACATTAATGTTCCTCTTTCTGTCTTTCCCCTCCCTTACACACTCTTTAAAAATCAGTGGAAAAAATATCCTCTGGTGAGGATTAACAACAAAAAATTCTATAGCTGAGTATAGACAAATTATATTGTTTGAAAGAAACCATTACATTATTTAAAGGAAACCAATATAGGGACTCCTATTTGAATTATCTGCTATATGGAATTAATCTGTGTAGCAAAGAATATAAAACCCAAAGAGTAACATAAGCCAATGTTTACATTTAGCCATTGTCATTATATCTACCTACTACTTAAGTAATGAAAAATGGTTAATTTCATTCACTATAAGAAAGATAAGAGGCTAATGAAAATACAAGGCCCTTCCCTCTAAAGCAGCAGTTGCCAACCTTTCGGACCTCACAGACCACCAGTGGTCCACGGACCACCGGTTGGCGACCACTGCTCTAAAGCATGTGGACATATTTGAGAATCTCATTTCCTATCCTTACCTCAAAAAAGTAACTTGAACTTCTAAAACACCAAATCCATGGTAGTAAGATTTATATAGTTTGGGGCATTATTGTCTTGGTATTCAACCATGAGTGCAGCCAGCAAGGTTAACAAGTACCAGAAACCCATTATAAACTACTTTAAAGGAAAAAACACGGTTGTTTCTGGTTCATGCCATGCCTAATGCCTGTCATCCAAAAGGTCTACCGAGTTACTGGGCCATCTCCTTACCTCCTGACCCAAGCTCTTGGCCTCCAACAACTCTAGGATCACTGTTCTTTCAGCTTACCTCCCAGAAAAAGTCTCAGGATGATTCTCACTGGCCAACCGTAAGTCATGACTTGAGCTCTGGACCCAGGGGGTAAGCCAGGCCCCTCAGAACCAAATAAAATCAGGGTACTAATGCCAAAAATGCTGCAGTATAGTTCATCTGTCTACAGGTTCACTCTCTTTTCCAGATACTTTGATGAACCTAAATATAAGACCATTAAATTATACTTAAGGGTAGAATTATAGAATCAGAAAACTGCATAGATCAAGTCTACTCTCCCAATATATAGGGTGAAAATTAAGCCCCAACTACCTGCTCTAATGTAGCCTTCCCTTGTGCTATACTCCCACCCCTTTTTGTTTCTTACAGATACAGATTTTTAAAATCAATGTTCAAAATACGGTATTATATATGCCCCTCCTTTTCCCCCATTGACCTCTTCCAGTCCGCTCCCACCCCCTGCCCCAGGCCTTCACCCCCCTATTGTCTGTGTCCATAGGTTATGTGTGTATACATGCATGCAAGTTCTTTAGTTGATCTCTTCCCACCCATCCACCCACCCCCACCTTCCCTCTGAGATTTTTCAGTCTGTTCCATGCTTCTGTGTCTTCTGGCTCGATTTTCTTCATCAGTTTATTTTGTTCATTAGATTCCACATGAGTGAGATCATGTTTTAAACATGGGCATCATAATTCTCCAGAGATCCTAATCCTTTTTCCTCTCAAGGACCAAGTCCTCTAATTTCCCTTATTATTACCCTACTTCAAAATCAAGAAATAAGGCATATGTAAAATACAGACTCTAGCTAAGACCTGTCTCTCCAAATAGAGCAGCTCTTCCTAAGCCACCCCCGTGGGAACTGAGAAACATACTCTTAATTCTTAATGAGAGATGCATAACCCGATTGTCCTGTTTTTTACTCCTCCTAAGAGTGCAATGTAAAAGTGACAGCTAAATCCTAGAACATAACCCTAATGCCACTTACATTATCTATAAACATCAAAGACTATGCTTTGGAAATTAGTTTGAGAACTTGCAGTCTGGACATTTTCCTCGGCTGGCACTATTTGTCAGAATTTAAAATTTGAAGGTTTCCCATAAAAGCCTTATTTTTTACCTTCTCTTGGGGAAAAAAAAATCAGATATTAACACCAGGTTTATTTCTATGGCTGGTCTTCAGCCCAAGGATGGTTGACCATCCTTGCTGTCCTGCCTTGCCCTTGTAAGTTATTTGGCTTTGTGATCAGAAGCTAAGTAAGATACACTTCCAACGATGGAAAACCATACTTCTGAAAAGGAAGCTTTTCAAAAATTAAGTCTGATCTCTTTTTGAACAATAAAACACATGCTCTAAAAATGAATTATTGATAAAGAACTGCTATTTCAAATGGGGGCTGGGATATCATTTAAGACCACTGTCTTCCTGCTTCCAAATGTTAGTGACATAACTGAGCAACCTTAAGTTGGTCACTGTCCCTCAATATTTTAGGATTATGCACTAAACTAATTACATTTGACCTCTTGCAATAGGCATCTCGGGATAGACTTTGTATGAATACAATAAACCTACACAAAGCATTTAATTTCAGATTTTTTTTTATTTTTCCAACACAACTGAAACAGTTGTATTAAATAAAAGTTTAGTGTCTACTGTTTACACTCATGTTGCTGCTACAAAGTACAACAACGTACACAGATTCCTAGCATGAATTACTCATTGTTCACCCCCACTGAACTACAGACATTGCTTAAGAATTAGATCTCTGCTTTAGGGATTTAAAAAAAAGAAAAACACAACTGGGGCACAGTATCTTGAAAGAGCTTTCTCAAGTGACTTGGAATTCACAGGCATAGCCAATACAGCAAAAACAGCACCAACCGTGCTGTCACTGGGAAGGAAGAATGGAAAACATGAATAGTAGTTATAAGCAGTTCTTCTAATGACAGAAGCTTGAAGAAGCTTCACTTGCCCATCTGGGCTAAGTGGCTGCTTTGAGAAGGGACAAAAGGGAAGGGATGAAGAGGGAGGGCTGGAACATGGATACTACACAGAAAGTATAAAAACTATATCTAAAATATAGATCAGCCCAAAATACTGGAAAGTGGCAATTTGAACTATATTTTTAAACAAGTGGGGGAAATACTGAGTGTTTTGAATGTGTGCAAAACTGATCCACATGACCTCACCGTCAAAACTGAACACGGCAAGGCAGGTACATTGGTTTCCAGCATCACAGGCAAACTACATGTATGTTTTCTAACAAATAATGTAAACTTCAGTTTTAAGGCAGCTGGTACTAATGCTGCACACAGGCTTAGCTCAGTGCCCATTTCAGAAATGGGACAGTTAGCACTTAAAAAAAAAAATGAGGGGAAAAATGGACAGTCAGCATTATTTGACAAAAACAATGTGTCAAAATGTTTTCCCTTCACACAAAGGTACTGGAACATTTAGAAAAACAAAGCACCCATCCCACCTACTTCAGCCTGTTCCTTAACAAATATTTCAAAATACTGATAAATAATCGTGACTGCGAGCAGAATTCCAGTGCCAGAGCCAATGGCCCCTAAGAAGTCAGCCAACACTGACAGGGCGCCAATACACAAACCGCCGAATGCAGCTGCGGTGGGGATATACCTAGAAGACAAAACCAAATTAGGCAGCAGAGGGAACTGAAAAGGGGCCACAGAAGCAATAACATGTCATGTTGAAGTGTGATTCATCTAACAGAACAGTCTGCAGTACTGATGGGTTGTCCATAGCACTTACATATTGATGAAAACCGACTAAGAGAATGACTTACTCCCTGATTTTGAAAAGCCAGTTAACAGCCAAGAACGGCAATGATTTTGATCAGAATCTTCAACTAGATTTAAGTATTAAAATATTTAATATTTTTAAATGGGTAACCTTTAGCTCCCTCTTCTAAATGAACAGTGAATTTCAAAATGATTTCTAAATATATTTATGTGACAAGATTTGGATAATTCTCTTCCAACAGTAACTTGACATTGGCTGCATGTTATAACCACCTGGAGAACTATTAAAAATAATGGGATTGTATTTAAAATACTCGAGAAAGAAAAACAAAAAAGATTAGGGTTGAATGAAAGAAGAATGACAGAATAACTACTATTAAAGTTGGATATACATGGATACATGCAGATTCATTATACTATTCTCTGCAATCTGTGTTCTCAATAAATAAAATATAAATATAAATACTTGTGCCTTTTCAACAATTATGGAACAATTGGATATCCACATGCAAAAGAAAGAATCTGAATGCCTATCTCACACCAAACAAAACTTCACTCAAAGTGGATCATAGACTGAAATCTAAGAGCTGAGACTCCTAAGAGAAAAAATAAATCTGTGACCTTGGGTTAGGCAATGGTTTCTTAGATACAACAGCAGCACAAAGCATCCAAAGACAAAACTGATATATGGAACTTCATCAGAATTAAAAACTTGTTCGTCAAAGGATACCATCAAGAAAGTGAAAGGGCAACCCAAAGAATGACAAAATATTTGTAAATAACATACCTAACAAGAGACATCCAAAATATTTTTTAAAATAATCTTACAACTCAGTAACAAAAAGATAACCCAATAAAAAATGAGCAAAATAGGCCTGGCTAGTTTAGAGCTAATCAGCCCAGGGACCAAAGGGTCATGGATTTGATTCCCAGTGAAGGGCATATACCTCATACTTCGGTTTGATCCCCAACCCAGGTGGGGGCGTCTTTGGGAAGCAACCAATCCATGTCTCTCTCACATCGATCTCTTGGATCTCTCACCCTCTTCTCTCCCTTCCACTCTCTAAAAATCAATGGGAAAAATATCCTTGGGTGAGGATTAACAAAAAACAAAGTAAAATGAGCAAAATATTTGAACAGACATTTCTCCAAAGACAATACACAAATGGCTAATAAACACATGAAAAGCTGCTCAACATCATTACTCATCAAGGAAAAGCAAATCAAAACCACAATGAGGTATCACTTCATACCCAGTAGTTGGCTATGTACTAATCAAAAAGCAAAAACTAGTGCTGGAGAGGATGTGTGGCAATTGGAACCTTCACACATATACAGCCCCTCTGGAAGACAATTCGGCAGTTCCTCAACATGTGAAACAGTTACTATTTGACTCAATTCCATTCCTAGAGAAATAAAAACATACTTCCACACAAACTTTCTATAAGTATGTTCATAACAGCTATTACTCATAATGGCCAAAAAGTGGAAACAACCCAAATATCTATCAACTAATGAATGGGTAAATAAAACATTATCCACACAATGGAATATTCACAGATAATGAACTTTGAAAACACTATGCTAGTAAAAAAAGCTATTCATAAAAGATCACATATATGATTCCTTATGTATGAAATGTCCAGAATAGGCAGAGGGTAAAAAGTTTCCTGGGGCTGGAGGGAGGGGAGAATGGGGTTGGAATGGGAAATAACTAATGGGTACAAGGTTTCTTTCTGATTGGTGAAAATGTTTTTAAAATTAGAGTATAATGATTACACACTCTGAATATACTAAAAAAAATTTTAAAAACCCACTAAACCATATACTTCAAATGAGTGAATTACACAGTATGTGAATTATACCAATGAAGCTGTTTATCAAAAAAACTGATGCCTGGGACCCACCCACTCCAGACCAAAGAAATCACCATTCCTGGAGATGTGATGTTAGTAGTTTTTAAAAGCTCCCAAGGTGATTTTCTGTACAGCCAGCCAACAATGAGAACCTCCCATCTACATTTTAACACTTGGCTGAGCTGTGAAGGGGAACACAATTCCAATTAAACTAATTTAGTTGTCATTTTGATGTGGAGAACAATTAACTTTTATGTTCAAGTTTGGTCCTTTTGTGTGAAGTAGAAATGCTAAAAATATAAATTTAAACAATATTTGGCAAGAAATGAGATTGAAAGAGTATATGTTGCCTGCCCCCGACCCTGCAAAGGAGGAAATCAAATGACCTTACCTATTAAGCTCATGAACCATAGAGGTATCTCTGTGGCCCCTCATTACCATTTGCTGTTCTTTAAGCTGTTTAGCTACCTGTCGAAAGAAACACAACTTTTAAAATCAAACTAACATTTCACTGTTCACTATCTACCCAGTTCTGTGTGAAGGGCTTTCTATACACTAATAAGATAACAAGAACCCTGCCGAAGCCGGTTTGGCTCAGTGGATAGAGTGTCGGCTTGCGGACTGAGAGGTCCCAGGTTCGATTCCGGTCAAGGGCATGTACCTTGGTTGTGGGCACATCCCCAGTAGGAGATGTGCAGGAGGCAGCTGATCGATGTTTCTCTCTCATCGATGTTTCTGACTCTCTGTCTCTCTCCCTTCCTCTGTAAAAAAATCAATAAAATATATATATAAAAAAAAGATAACAAGAACCCTGCAGTAGGCACCGTCATACCATTCCTCTTTTAAACCTGAGGATACTGAGGCTACAACACTGCACAACCACGTTACCCACAAACTAAACCAGTGTTCTCAATCTTTTTTCACTATCACCTTCCTTAAGAAAAATTAATGCTAAGAAATAATATTTTGTCAGGTAGGATTGAGCTTTGGAGAGTCACAAACCATTATAAAGTCTATGTTTCACCTACCAGGAACCAATTTTTAACCCTATGGGGAGGTCATATTACTTTATTAATGTATGAATTAAAATTTAATTTACAAAAATAAGAGCTGACATCTAAAATTTATAAATTATTTTTATTTTGAAATAAACCAAATACTTACATCTTTGGCTGAGGAACCAGACACCTCTATCCACGTCTTAGAAAAGAATGCACATGATCCCAGCATAAAGATGATATAAACAACCACATGGACAGGATCCTCAAATATGGCACCCATAGACTCAGGAGGAGAAAGATAATAACAAAGGCCTCCAACTGGGTAAGAGCGAGCAGGTCCTCCCCCACTGACATCCTACAGAACAAGAAGGAAAAGAACAACTGGCCAACCTAACTTGTCAAGCATACATTTTTATAACTTTTCAAACTCCTCAAAAATTAGGACAATGGTATAAGCTCAAAGCCTCTACAGCTAATGGCTATAAATAACTTAAGGATTTGCTTTTGTATCTAATATCTTCATTCCTTCAAAATTATATAGTGAACATCTCTTACATAAAGATGTAGGTATATTAATAACAAGAATGATTTAAGAAAAAAAATCTATGAGAAGATAGAAAAAAAGACTACATTTACAGTCAATCTCTTTTTTTTTTTTTTTTTTTTTTTGAGCAAGTGGAAGGGAGGGGAAGAGAGAGAGAAACATCTATGTGAGAGAGAAATGGAGCCTCCAACCAACGTATGCAACCTTGACCAGAATCGAACTTGGGACCCTTCAGTCCTTAGGCCAACACTCGGTATGCAGAGAGCCAAACCAACTAGGGCTATAATCAATCTCTTTTTAGAATCTGAAATTTTCTGAACTATATAAGAGTATGCAATGAAGGTCTGGGGAAAGGGCGGGAGGAGGGAGGGTCAATGGAAAAAAGAATAGGGGTACATCTGTAATACTTTCAACAAAAGATAATAAAAACATAAAGAGTTTTATGCAACACAATAAAACCCTTCCTTACACATGATTCTTTCATTTCAAAGTATTCTACTAAGAATGCAATCAATTGAAATATTGACAGAAGTCTAACAACTCACTGCATAACGTTATTTGTATAAGAGTCTTGATAAATATATACAATGAGATTTTTAGCAACACAAATATTTAAGAATTTTTATAGTAACAGAAATGGGACCAGCATGTATTTACTCTTATTAAGTAAAAATTTTGGGATATAGGGTGTGAGAAAGCAATTTCTGGTTGCAAAGATTAATTTATCTTGATTCTTGAACTTATAACTTCCAAATAATTCTTTTACTGTGCCACTAGAATTAATATTACCAAATCAAAAGCATTGTTTATAGACAAATTCAATTCCCCAATAATTCATTTAAAAAAAATCTTAGTCAAGGTCACAATATATTCTATACAACCATTCAATGTATTTATTACTTTGTAATTTTTATAGTAGTAATTATAGCTGGACTATTAGTTCTTGAGGGGAGAAAAAGATTCCTCCCGTAATCACAGGTAATCAAATTTCTGTTAAATGAATGGAAAAGGAGTATTACAAATAGAGCAAATCCTATTTCCTCCAACTAACATTCAAAAATCACTGTCTCCAGTTTGGCTCAGTGGACAGAGTGTTGGTCTGAGGACTGAAGGGTCCCAGGGTTCAATTCCAGCCAAGGCCATGTACCTTGGTTGTGGGCACATTTCCAGTAGGTGGTGTGCAGGAGGCAGCTGATCGATGTTTCTCAACGTTTCTCTCTTATAGATGTTTCTAACTCTCTATCCCTCTCCCTTCCTCTCTGTAAAAAAATCAATAAAATATATATATTTTAAAAATCACTGTCTTACCCTGTTAAACTTCAAATTTCTTTTAAAAATTATCTTCAGTAAAAGCACAGATATATCAGTCACTATAACTTAAAATGTAAAAGATAGCATATTAAGATAAATGCACAATATATTAAGCACCATACTTCAGTATAATGACTAAAAATAATATTCTTTAATGCAATACAAATTCTAGAATTACATACTCTGCAAAAGAATAAAGGATCTTAGTATTTTTTAATTCTATAATTTTAAAGGAGAAAAATACTCCTTGGTCAGGTGATAGAATTTAAACCAATCAGAATTCAATCCAATCTCACAATTAACACTTCAGTAACAATGTGGCTGGACTGCTTTAGAAGAAGCTCTGATACCAGGTACCTATAAAAGGAAGTCAGAATTTACTGGATTCTATTTCTAGCATCTGTTCTCTCTTTAGTTTAGTAATTACATGTCTGTCTCCAGCCCAGTTAATCATAAACTAGTTTAGTGCCATTCAGGTATGAAAAACAGGGAGGATGATTTCTGTATTCCATATATTATCAACAAATAGCTTCTTTTTAAAAACATTATTCCAGACAATAGTGGAATGAGATTACAAAACACAGAATCATGAGAACCACTGTAATTTTAACCTAAAAGATCATTCAAAGGAAATGCAAAAATGCTTCCTACTTAAGTGACTCTGAAAATGTTATAGCAACTACTTCAATTATGGCTCATCTCTTTCAATTAAAAATATAACCATGAAATGCAAATTACAATAAATGAAAACACTTGAATAAATAATAAAATACTCACTGCCCACTGTCCTAGTAAATTAACTAAAAAGTTGCCACTGAATCGAACAGACAGCATCTGGGAAATGACATAGAGGTTTGACACCAATGCTGACTGAAGAATAATGGGGATGTTCGAGGTATAGAAGAGCTTGATGGGGTAGCTGCTGTATTGTCCTCGATACCGAGCCGACTTGATGGGTAAGTCAACACGAAATCCCTACAAAGTGAAAATTCAGAGTAAGAGGAACTGTACATCCTATATAATAAAAGCATAATATGTAAATTGTCCCCTCAACCGGGAATTCGACTGCTCACTATGACGTGTGCTGACCACCAGGGGGCAGCAAGGAACATGGTGGGTATCAGTGATGCAGCGCTGGTAGTAGGCAGCAGTGGAGGCACTGCCAGCCCCGATGGACACCAATGAGAGTGGGACACAGAGGGACTGGTGGCACCAGGCCAACACAGGTGTAAGCAGGGCCTGATCGCCCCACCAATTACCCCACAGATGGCGACCAGTGGCGGCGGTGGAGGCGGGGCCGCCACCTGGCTCCCAGGCGCTGAGGGAGTCAGGCAGGGTCCCGATTGCCCTGCCAATTGCCATGCAGACAGCAAGCAGAGCTTCGATTGCCGGCTAGGCCTAGGGAGCACACCTGTCCACAAATTCCATGCACCAGGACTCTAGTATCATATAAACAATACAGAAAGCCAAACAAGGAACAGTAGGGAGTATGAAAAGATAATGATAATAAAACTTAACCCTTCCACACAAAGGCATGCAAACAGAAATTCCTTTCTATTTCATTTTCATTCTACTTTGTCATTTACACCTCTGTTTCTAAAGAAAGGAATTATTTGCTTGGCTAGATTTTGAAACATTGACTTATTAGAAACTAACATTTCAAATAAAAATCCACATCCCACTTCAGAAAGAAAGTATACTTACCTGAAAATATATAACAACAGCAAACACAAAAACAGTAGCAATGAGGTTCATGAGATTGGGCAAGTTCTGACGGTAGAAAGCCTCCCTTAAAGCTCGGACTTTGTCGGTCCTGGTGGCCAGTAAATGAAAGAGAGCTATGACTGCACCCTCAAACTCAGTACCTGATAAACCAAGAGAAAAATCAACTGTAGACGCCAAAGTTATCCCAAAGGTCAAAACAAATAATCTTGAAACTACAGTACTCAGCAAAAAATATGAGTGAAAATAATTCATCAGTATTTGTGATATAGCCATATGTGGAGTTTCTAAAATATTTTGATCATTGAGGCAAAATGTATGTTTTTTAACATAAATTTGAAGTTTCTCAAGAGAAGTTTCTTGATGGAAACAACCAAAGTAGAGTAAGCCAAAAAAATATTTCATTCATAATGCTTTGCTTCTCCTTTACTTTCAAGAAGGGAAGAGAGTACTGCGGTAAGGGGAAGGGTGGCAGCAGCAAAGCAGAGTAGAGGTCAGAGTCAAAAGATATGTTACTCTACCAAGCTTGCCTTTAAGTTCATTTTACCAGGAACATTAATGAACCATTGTTGCTATTTTCTTAAGGCTGGGATTAGTTTACATGTTAACCCTTACAAATCTAGGATGGCATTTTGAGAGAAGTGGAAATGGGTAAGGGGAAAAAGAGTAGAAATATTTCAACATTTAGGTGCGAATACCAAGCCAAGTAGAATAGCAGCAAAAGTATTAGTGCTCCCTGATGATACAAAGAATAACAGTTTTTTCATCTGAAAAATCCTACTCCACTACCTTTTGATCCCCCCAGCAATGCTAAAATTGGTCAAATTCATGAGTTCTGCAGCAATGGCTTAAGCAAGTAAAAATTTTCAAATGCTTGGGACCACTGAAATTTGAATAAGCAGAGGCTAAAATGTAGATATTCTTTTTGAAGTAATATTTCAGACTCCACAAATCTCTGCTAATAATTTTGAATAATTAGCATCAATTGTCCGCTGGAACAGTAAACCTAGATATCTACAGGCATGTACTGCTCCATTACGTGTTACTTTTCAACACACATACAGCAACACTCGTGCAGTCGCAGTCACTGTGTGATGTACCTCTGCCAGTGTTAATAGTAGTGGGACTAAAGGCCTTCCAGACAATGGTTTCACAGATGTTGGTGGCAATAAAGAGGGAAATACCAGACCCCAGGCCGTAACCCTTCTGTAGCAGCTCATCTAACAGCAGCACAATCAAACCAGCAACAAACAACTGTGGGGAAAGAAATGCAAGTAAGCGGAAGCAAGAAACAACTCAAAAAAGGGGAAGACAAGCATCAGTGACTACTTTCACAGTATGGGCATGTCTAACACATTCAAACCTAATGATTACAATATCACTATTATGATTCTGCATCTTTTAACCCACTCTGATTTAATCAGAAGCTAATCCTGAAAATCAGATGATTAGAAACATTGCTATATTGCATAGTAGCCATTTCAACTTTTAAAATAGATGTTACCATCAGAACAGTTTCCCTTACAATAAGGGAAATAAGGCTTATTCCCTTAAATAAGGCTTATTGAAAAGCGCACTATAAAACAAAAATCTTCATAGTTATAGAATTTATGACAGCAAGAAACTGAGTACATCCCAGATATCTCCAAGCAAGTGAAAGGCCAAATGAATTATGGTGTAACAAGATGCAATTGCACACTGCCATGAAAGGAAAAGTATGTGAACTATGTTGATACGTTTTTTAAATATTATATATAATATTGTATATTATTGTGTACTTATTATATATCTATGGAATAAGTAAAAAGGTGAAGCACAAATTAATACATACACAGATTATAACAATGTAAAAATGCATTCTATACATATAGTGACAAAGATTAAATGTAAATTTCAAGGTAGTTAAGAGTTCATAGGTTCCTAAGTTCTTAACTTTTTTTAAAAAAATGAAAGCATGCTAACTTTCTGTGAAAATGGAAATTCTTAACTTTCCTCTTGGATAAGACATTTCTGTAAAAGTATATACCAATTAAAAATAAGCCCTAGAGCCTGGCCAGTGTGGCTCACTTGGTTAAGCATCATCACAAGCTTCAGGAGGTCACCGGTTCAATTCCAGGTCAGGGTACATGCCCGGGTTGGGGCTCGATCCCCAGTAGAGGGCATGGAGGAGGCAGCCAATGGATGTTTCTCTCTTAGAGATGTTTCTTACTCTCTCCCTCTCCCTGAAATCAACAAAAACATATTTCAGAAATAATAATAATAAGCCCTAGACTTAAAAGTGACCTTGACATGCACTTCAGTAACCTGATCAATCAAGGAAGAAAATACACTTCTATACCCTCCCACCCCCGTCTCATGCCTGTCCCCACTATAAAGGCACCCTCTTACAGAAGCTAAGGAAATGTCACTTCTGTGAAGCATCTCTGAAGCATCCCCCGTCATTACTTACGCAGTTCCCTAATATCCCCATTAGAAGAGAGAGCAAACTACAGTACACCACATTAAGCATGCTTACCTTACACAGGGTTTATTTATTTTCCTTAACTGTCATTTCAATGGTTATACAGAGCCTAACTTGTCTATTGACAGTCTTTTAGTTTAACTTTCAATGGACTGGAAAAATAGTACAATTCTCAAAACTTCTAAGTGAGCTCATGAATCCTTTACTTTTGACATTTTGACAAGACAAAAGAAGTTAGGATTTATTACTGAGATTTTATTTTTATCACAATTATGTAATAAATATTCCCATTCACACAGAAACCCAACCCTGTGCAAAGAATAAGAGCTGTCCACAAACTAACAGCCAATCAAAAGCATTATCATGGGCTTCTGACTAAATGACTAATTGAATAACCTGTCCAGATCACATGGACAACTCTGAATCAACTGTAATTCAAACCACCTGTTCAGACCAATGTTCATCAGTTTATAGAATGATTTGTGTTTATCCTATGAAAATAAAAACTCATTTTTCTAACTGGAGAAAGGCTTTATAGAAAAACCTAAATGAGAAATGGTTTCTGTAATTAAAGAAGATAAAAAATGGTAAAAAGCATACATGCCCGAGAGGAATTAGACACCAGGAAGTTAGAGCATCTCACTGACTAAAACGGTGATAAGAACTGAATACTAACTGAATGCCTTTGTAGATGTACAATCAATATGAATCTCAAAGCAGGCATAAAACTAACACTGTACATTTCAACCCTACAGATGCATTCATGCATAAACAACTCAGTTTGACAAAATAATACTTATCTTTACAATGTGCCATGCACACTGATAGTTTCAATTCTTTTTTAATTTTAATCAAGACATATTATTTAGATTTCTAAACTCACTAATTGAAAGACACTGACCATGTGAATGAAACAAGAATAATTAAGTTGAGAAATATCTTATATAAGAACATGCAAACAGTTTTTAAAACCTATGTTTCTAGGTAGAAACACATTGATCCAATCATATCTCTTCAAGGTACCCACACATTTTCTTTTTTTTAAAAAAAATATATTTTATTGATTTTGTACAGAGAGGAAGGGAAAGGGATAAAGAGTTAGAAACATCGATGAGAGGGAAACATCGATCAGCTGCCTCCTGCACACTCCCTACTGGGGATGTGCCCACAGCCAACGTACATGCCCTTGACCGGAATCAAACCTAGGACCCTTGGGTCCGAAGACTGATGCTCTATTCACTGAGCCAAACCAGTCAGAGCCCCACACATTTTCAATGTTTGCTTCTTAAAAAGAAGCAAATAGGTCATTACCCACTGATAATTAAGTAAAACATGACATATTCTCTATACTTAACACTAGAAGAATTTACCATAACACAAATAAATACCTGTGCACCAGAATTTATGTAACAAATATATATGCACTGAATTTGTTTTATTCCTAGAACATAATTATTCCTGGATTTGTAATACTGATAAAAAATTAAAATAGCTTAATTCCATTTAATATCAATTTAAATCTATAACTAACACTTTAAGAAATCTATACTTTATCTAACTAACCCAGAACTGCTCAGCTGAGGTTCTGTAAAAGTCTAAATCTAACCTCAGTAAAACACTAGAAAAATTTTACTGATACACAATGTTAAGAGCTAGATGCCAATTCTGGGTATCTTTTAAAAATCAGGATTATTCTAAACTATGGATTACGTAAAGCAAATGCTAAAAAATAAAAGAAACATAAATCAAGAATTAGTATATCAATATCCTCAAAAATGCCAAAAGCACATGAAGAAATTTTAAGCACTGAAATATTAAATTCAGTTTTCAGACAACCTTATCTTTCTATCCATTCCAACTTTTCTTCCTCCAATTCCCAAAGGCTATAAATTTGCCAATCAAGTGTTTTCTAAATGGAGAAATAATGACAAAGTTATTCTTTAAAAAAATGTACTTTATACCAAATCGAAACACACAGGGGCTCAGAAAACTACCAAAGACTCTGATTAAAAATTCCTCCCCCTCCCTAACTGGTTTGGCTCAGTGGATAGAGCATGGGCCTGCGGACTGAAAGGTCCCAGGTTCGATTCCAGTCAAGGTCATGTACCTTGGTTGCGGGCACATCCCCAGTAGGAGGTGTGCAGGAGGCAGCTGATCAATGTTTCTCTCTCATTGATGTTTCTAATTCTCTCCCTTCCTCTTTGTAAAAAAAAAAAAAAAATCAATAAAATATATTAAAAAAAAATTCCTCCCCTGTGCCTGGACAGTGTGGCTTGGTGATTGAGCTTCAACCCAGGAACCAAGAGGTCACTGGTTCAATTCCCAGTCAGGGGGACATGCCCAGGTTGCAGGCTCTATTCCCCACAGGGGCATGCAGGAGGCAGCCCATATCTCATGTGTCTCTGTCATTGACGTTTGATTTCAGAGAGAAAGGGAGAGGGAGAGACAGAAACATCAATGATGAGAGAGAATCATTAATCGGCTTCTTCCTGTACACCCCGATGGGGATTGAGCCCACAACCCAGGCATGTGCCCTTGTCCGGAATTGAATCCAGGACCCTTCAGTCCACAGTCCAACACTCTATCCACTGAGCCAAAACAGCTACAGCATGTCACTGATGTTTCTATCTATCTCTGGAAATAAAAACATATTTTTTAAAATTCCTCCCTTGTCAAAAGACAAAAAAAGCCCTCCCTACTTGTTGTTTGTTTGTTTTAAGCAACTAAGAACAACCTAAATTTATTAGCTCATAGTTCTATAGGTCAGAAGCTTGAGTAAGCTTAACTGGGCTCTTTGCTTTGTCTCCCAACGTTGACATGAAAGCATTAGTTAGCCAAGGCTCTTAGCTAGATGGTCTAGGGAAAAATCCAAGTCAAGCTCATTCAGAATGAGGTCAAAATCCAGTTCCTTGTGGACTGTAGATCTGAAGTATGCCCGTTTTCTCCCTGGCTGTCATCCAAGGACTACTGTATTCCCAGAGCCACCTGCATTCTTTCTCATGTAGCCTCTTCCATCTTCATGGCAGAGGGGCAAGTCTTTTTCAAGCTTTAAATCTGACTTCCTCTTCTGCTCCATCCCTATTGTTACTGATGCCAATAAATACCTGAACAATCTCTCTCCTGGTTCTGAATCATGCTAACTAAACAATTATCTTATTATGATCTTCCTAAATAAAAAAGAATTATTAAAAAAAGAATGGTCAACCATGCCAGTCTGAGATGGTCATATTTCTTAATACAAATATTTGTAAACTACTATTTTTATTTTATTTATAACTATTTTTCTAACCTTGATTCTTTTGACCATTAGAAAAACTTTCCTGAATTAATCCTAATTTCACAGAGTGAGCAAGAAGAGGCATTTCCAAGATAAGCAGAACTCTAGATGCCCAGTGTTTAAACAAACTTCTTTTCAAAAGTCAATAAATAACTATATATTTTAAGTACAATCCATTTGAGCAACTTCTCTAAATAACTTTTAAGGATTGTACATTACAGAAATATCGACCAAACTTTATACACTTTAAGATACTTAGTAAAGGATTAAATTAATGTTGGCCTTCAAAAATTCCATTCCAAAGCATCCATTTTAAAAATTCTTAGAATACATGTATGAGTATTAATATAGTATTTCACTGATTCAAAAATATTAAACTATGATCCAACTTATTACAAAAAAAATTGATTCTCTACTTATAAAATGTTATTTTAGACTTAGATACAGATGTTTATCATCTACCTTGCTCTTTCTGTGCCTTTGTGTACACACAATAACTTTTCATTTCAGTAACAAATCACAGCAGTTTTGGAATACATTTTAAAAAGCAATTCAAGTAAAAAATATCAAAAATTGACGTGATGACATTAACAGCTATAATCAAGTTGACACCCATGTAGGAAAAGACAAACTATCAGAACTGCCACTTGGCTGAGTACAATTGTAAGACACTATCACAACTGTAAGAAAACATCCTGATTTCAGAGACATCACAATGTGAAAAATGTGCATCTTAGAATCAATGAAATAGAGTTGATCCATAATTCAATATATTATGCAGCTATAAGGCTATCAGAATTTTAAATTTTCACATCAACATGATACATGTCACTTCAATTATCAAAATATTCTATAATTCAAAAGTAAGAAAATGAGTATTATCAATCACCTAAAGACTTGTTAGAAAAAAAGGGATGAAACTGTTTTGTTATCTGCATATAAAAAATGGGATTTCTCACCTGAATAATGATAAGGAGGCAGATTCCAGCACCCATTTCAGCAGGTTCCCCATACATGCCTGTCATGACATATACAATGGCTTGCCCAATGGTAATGATCATACCAAATACTGACAAAAATTGAGGAAAAAAGAGTATATGTTACAACCACAGACAGAAAAGACTATAGAAAAAAAAAAACATCTTTACCACAAAATTTCCAAATTTGAAATTTTATTTTATTAAATATGCTCACATTTTTGGGCTCCATTAAATAAAGCTCTGTCTTTGGGTGTATCTCCAACTTCAATGATTTTGGCTCCAGCTAACAACTGCATAATCAAACCAGATGTTACAATTGGGGAGATACCCAATTCCATTAAAGTTCCTATAAAGGAAGGGGAAAGAAGTAAATACTATACACAATTCAGATTACTTTAGAAGTGTTCCAGTCCTTAATTACGCCTATGGAAATATATGCTTAAATGTTAACAAGCAAATTTTCATTTCTTAAACATTAAATTACTTTTTTTTTTTAAATATATTTTATTGATTTTTTACAGAGAGGAAGGGAGAGAGATAGATAGTCAGAAACATCGATGAGAGAGAAACATCGATCAGCTGCCTCCTGCACATCTCCCACTGGGGATATGCCCGCAACCAAGGCACATGCCCCTGACCGGAATCGAACCCGGGACCCTTCAGTCCGCAGGCCGTCGCTCCATCCACTGAGCCAAACCGGTTTCGGCACATTAAATTACTTTTAAAAAACCTCTATTAACACAATCTTGCAACAATCCATTAAATAAAAATTACTATAAATACTAAGTACAAATTTCTATAAATTCTAAACTTAAAATGTTAAAGAAATATGTTGAAAGAAATCTTCCAAGATTTCTGTCCAAATTATTATTTTTAGAATGTACGCTCAACATTTTATTTTATTTTTTTAAGACATTTTTTATTGATTTCAGAGAGGAAGGGGGAGAGAGAGATAGAACCATCAATGATGAGAGAGAATCACTGATCAGCTGCCTCCTGCATGCCCCCTACTAGGGATCGAACCTGCAACCCGGTCATGTGCCCTTGACCGGAATCAAATCCAGAACCCTTCTTTCCACAGGCCAACACTCTATCCACTGAGACAAACTCGATAGGGCTAAACATTTTATTTTAATGCAAATTAAAAATTACAGCCCTGATCAGCCTGGACCCCAGGGTTGGGGTTCCATTCCCAGTCAAGGGCACATACCTTGGTTGCAGGTTCCCAAGCCCCAGCAGGGTGTGTTCAGGAGGCAACCAACCAATGTGTTTCTTTCACATAGGTTTCTCTCACATAGGTGTGTTTCTCTCTCTCTCTCTTTCTTTCTCTCTCTCTCTCTCTCTCTCTCTCTCTCTCTCTCTCTCTCTCTCCACCCCCGCTCTCCCTTCAATCTCTTTCTCCCCGCTCCCTCCTTTCCACTCTCTCTAGAAATCAATGGAAAAATACACACCAACTAAAAAAAAAAAAAAAGATTTCTGACTCTGCCCAGCTGCGTCAACCTATGAACCAGGTTATGATTTGATTCCTGGTCAGGGCACATGCCTGGGTTGTGGGTTCGATCCCCAATAGGAGGCCAGGCAGGAGGCAGCTGATAAATGATTCTTTCTCATCACTGATGTTTCTCTATCTAAAATCAATAAAAATATTAAAGGAAAGATTTATGACTCTTATGCAATATCTAAAATTACATATAACATTATCTAAAACTACATTGTAGAATATCTAGTGGCATGAAAAATGATCTTGACACAGTACACTGGGGGAAAAAACACAAATATATAGAAAAAAAAGAAAAAAAAAAGAGAAAGCTCTAGACAGCGATAATCACTCCATTCTCTGTGTACTTCAATACTCTGTAACATAGTTCTAAAATTAGAATAAACACATGGTTCTATAATTATTTACATACTAGAGGCCCAGTGCACAAATTTGTGCACGGGTGGGGTCCCTCGGCCTGGCCGGTGATCAGGGCTGATTGGACTGACCAGCTGAGGAGAGGGACCGCAGGAGGTTGGCTGGCCGCGGAAAGTTGGCTGTGGGAGCACACTGACCACCAGGCTTTTATTATGTGACTAGGCTTTCATATATATACTAGAGGCCTGGTGCACAGATTTGTGCACGCGTGGGGTCCTTCAGCCCAGCCAGCCCGGGAGGTTGGCCGGCTGCCGGCTGCGGGAGGTTGGCTGTGGGAGCACACTGACAATCAGGGGGCAGCTCTTGTGTTGAGCGTCTCCCCCTGGTGGTCAGTGCATGTCCTAGTGACCAGTTGTTCAGTCATAGCGGTTGCTTAGGCTTTTTTATATACAGATAGATAGACTAGAGGCCCAGTGCACAAAATTCATGCACTGATCACCAATGGTCAGCTCCTGCATTGAGCGTCTGTCCCCTGGTGGTCAGTGTGCGGACACAGCAACCAGTCGTTCCACTGTTTAGTCAATTTGTGATTAGCCTTTTATCATATAGGATGGTCTCTTCTCCCAGGCAATGTTTCTTTTATCATATCCTCCCACTCCTTGTAAACTCAAAAAACATCTTCCACAATTTCAGATCTATTTGATGTTAGTAGTATGGAGGCAAAAGAAAAAAAGTACATACCTCTGTTGGATGCAAGAATAACTCTCATCCAGTAGAAAGGATCTGCAGAATCTGATGACATGATTCCAAATAGTGGTATCTATAATATAACAGAAAACATTTTATAAAAGTGTATTATATAAATTAAGTCTGAGCTTATTTTGTAACTCATCACTTAATGTTTGCAACACTTTTTTAAAATATATTTTTATTGATTTCAGAGAGAGAGGGAGGGTAAGAGAGAGATAGAAACATCAAAGATGAGAGAGAATCACTGATTGGCTATTTCCTGCACACCCTCTATTGGGTATCAAGGCCCACAACCTGGGCATGTACCCTGACTGGGGAATCAAACCATGACCTCCTGGTTCATAGCTCAATGCTAACCACCAAGCCACACCAGCTGGGCAGCAATACTTTATAAAACTTGTGACTTATGATTTCTTATGTTCTTTAACAAAACAAACATACCTTAAAGACAGTTTTTTAATGAAAATAAAAATAACAGAAACCATTACTTACAGCATTTCACTAGTAAATTCTCCTATCAGTATGAAGATCTGTTGCATAACAATGCAAATATACTTAACACTACTGAACTCTATGCTTAAAACTGGTTAAGATAGTAAAGTTTGTGTTTACCATAATTTAAAAAAATACTATCAGTGCCAGCCCAGTGTGGCTCAGTAGTTGAGTGGAGAACTATGAACCAGGAAGTCAATTCCAGGTCAGGGCATATGCCTGGATTGCAGGCTCAATCCCCAGTGCAGGGCATGTAGGATGCAGCTAATCTGTGATTCTCTCTTATCAATGATGTTTCTGTCTGTCTCTCCCTCCCCTTTCTTCTCTAAAATCTATATATATATATAAATCTTTTTAAAATACTATCAGTAAATTGTAGGATATACTTACTTAGTCACATCATAATTTTGCAAAGCTATGGGTATTAATGTCAGCCAAGGCTACACTCCAAATTAAGACTGAAGGTGATGTATACAGTAGAAAAATTATGCAACCACTAAAGATTGTACTTAGGAAGTTTGTAACAGAATAAGAAAGTGCTTATGTCTCAATACTAAGTATAAAACAGTGGTTCTCAATCTGGGGCAATTTTGCTCCCTGCCCCTGTCCCCCAGAGATGTCTGGCAATATCTGAAGACATTTTTGGCTATCACAACTTTAAGGAAGATGCTACTGGCATCTAGTAGGTAGAGATCAGGAATGCTGCCAAGGCACGGAACAGCCCTCCAACAACAAATGCTTACCCAACCTAAAATTTACTCCCATTGTTGAGAAACCCTGTTAGATAAAAAGAAAGGCACAAAATTGCATAGGATAAAAATTCAGAACATGAAAAATACACATAAAAGGTAACAAGGTGTAAATATTTTTTTATATCCTAAACAATGATTATTTGTAGGTAGTGAAATTATGGTGGACCTTTTCTTCTTTATTCTTTTCAGTATTTATCAAATTTTCTAAAGAAAGCACATAATGCTTCCGATCATATGACCCATGTTTAGGACCAGCACTGGGCCATACCCCCTTGCCCATCATGTGGGGATCAGACACAAAGAAAAACACATTTCCAGTTTTCAAAAACCTTCTCTATATGAAGCTGTTGTTTTTTTTAAAATTTACAATCAGCTTCTGGTCAAGATGGCAGTTTAAGTAAATACAGTACTTACACCCTCCGACAACCACATCAAAATTGCAATTAAAATACAGAGCAACCATCACTCAGAACCACCTAAAACTTAGCTAAATAAAAGTCCTACAATTAGGGATTTAAAGCAGCAGCCACATGAGACTAGTAGGAGGGGCCGAACAAGGAACTGCCTGGCTCCATGCCCACATGTGGAAGATAAATATCAGGAGGAATATCTTGGCTGCAGTGGTCACAGAGTTCCCCCTGAGGAGCAAAGGGTCCCAGCCCCACACCAGGCCCTCACATCCAAGGTTCCAGTCCCGGGAAGAGAAACCCCCATAACTTCCGGCTGTAAAAACCAATGAGAATTGAGGCTGAGAGGAAAGGTTGCTGGAATCCCAGGAAGTTCCTTGTGAAGGGCCTACACACAGACTTATTACTCTGACTCACTCCCTCTGAGATTCAGCACTGGGATAGCAACTCAAAAGGTACCAAGGACATAGAGGGAGGAACTGAAGTGTCTGGTATTGGGGTGAAAGCGGAGGGGAGGGGGGGGCTTTCTCCCAGACAAAATGCTGGCAGAGGCTACTGTTCTTTTGATGAGCCCTCCCCTCACAAAGATGGCAAGCAGGCACCATATCTGAGTTTCCATCAACCTGGCTCACACTATTCCCCCTGCCCTGGTGAATCCCTGACACTCCTCCCCACCAAACTTGCAGGGCCAACCAAACTGTTTCCAGCAGCTTTTTCATATAAATGGCCTGTACTGGCACACAATTAAGACTTTTCTAAAATCTCTCAAACAAGCAGCATCTGGTCTAAGTATGCCCCACACCTCTTGCTAAGTGGTCCCAGATGCAGAAATACCAGCAGCTGGCCTTAGTTCACAGCTTGGCTTTATTGAATACCTCCAAGCCCAGCACAAGTAACAGCCATCTTCAGATCACTTTATAGCTCATGCTAGATGGCCCTGGTCACAACACAGGTGGCAGATGACTTTGGCTTTCACCTCCCAGGAGACCCCAGAGACAGTGCACTCTATTGATAGCTTCATACCACACTGAAGCACTACCAAACCACCTCCACAACAACACACTCAAGGGGCAAACACAATGGGCACTAGAGCCCCTCTGAAGTAAGTCCTGCTCTCTGGGATAGGCCCTTGCACAGCTCATCCTCCACAGGTAAATCCCTCCCATTGACATTCCAACAACCATGAAGGCTCAACTATGGGAAGGTGTACAAAGCCCACTGGGGAGGGGGGTTGGCACACTTGGACAGCTTGGGTGACTGGGAAGGCTGTGCCACTTGACACTACAGGACACCTAGTACATTAGGCCACTCTACCAAGCCCAGGAGACATAGCAGCTATACCTAGTACATAGAAACCAATACAGGAGGCTGCCAAAATGAGTAGACAAAAAAAAAACATGTGCCCAAATGAAATACAGAACAAAACTCCGGAAAAAGAATTAAAATGAACGTCAACCCATGAGCCAGAGGTCACAGTTCGATTCCCAGTCAGGGCATGTGCCCAGGTTGCAGGCTTAATCCCCAGTAGGGGGCCTGCAGGAGGCAGCCGAACAATGATTCCCTCTCATCACTGATGTGTCTATCTCTCTCTCCCTTTCTCTCTGAAATAAAAAAATACATATTTTTTTAAAAACACCAAAAAAACCCTGCAAATTAATAGTACCAAATAGTCCACATTACAATATTCCCTAAGTGGAAAATAGGTCACACAAATTACTTTCCTTAATTGCATCTGATGAGACAGGCACTATACCTCCATTTTTAGACACTATGTGGGATCTAACCTTCCTTCCTTTCCTGTAGTCAACAGAATTATTAAACTCAGTAATTATACAAATTACTCAGTATTGTACATGTACAGAATCTTGTATATTAGTTGGATGGCAACAGGAGCTACTTTCTATGACTCTCACAGTTGCAGAGTTCCAAACTTTTCACTATTACATATAATAATTGGTTTCAATTTGATAAAATACAATATAATACTTCAGAGAAACAAGAATTTAATGATTTAATGGAAACCCTGAACCAACCAGATGGACAAATAAAAAATTAGCACTAGGAATTTCCAAAGGAGGTGGGAACTGAAAACCAAACAAGGTATTTCTGGGTTAAAATGGCAAGTTGCAATTAAACTACAGAACTTCCCTCCCTGACACAAGAAAACACATATTTAATAACATGTAAAATAGTAAAAAGCTAAGGAAAACAAAATCCATAAAGCAGCCAAACAAGAAAAGGGATGATAAACCTGAAACAATGGTGGTCATGGGGGGAAGAAAACAGCAGACAGGGGAGGAGCGTAGAGACTCAGAACAAAGCTGCTCCAACCATCATAAAGGGAAGGCAATAGAAGCTTTAGAATTCCCAATACATTTCAACTCCAGCCTGGAGAAGAGCAGGCTGCACGGGTATCTTTTTGCCTCCTTTGACTAGGAGGGCAGTAGAAACAGCTAAAAAGAAATGATGAGAGAAGTGGGCCTTGGGGCTTTCTCTCTCTGACAGGACTGACGATGATAGACCATACCTACTTGGGAACTGGGCAATGATCTAAAGTGGGGAATGGAACAGAGAGAGCCCTGCTCAGTCACATGGAGAGAATCCTCACAAAACACGGACAAAAATTTGAGGAGAGAGGGCAGAGCCAGGCAGCACTCACTTCAGCTTATCACACCTTCCACCATTCCCTGGAATAAAGAAACAGGGTAGAAAAGGTCTCTCCAAACCCTGAAATTGTGGCTGAAAGGGAAATAAGCTGTTTGAGGTTCAAAAGAAAGAGAATCAAGAAATCACCACACTGAGCAGAACAGGAGAAAGTCAAAGATACAGCTTGGCCCAGCCAGCGTGGCTCAGTGGTTGGTTAAAAATCGACCTATGAACCATGAGATCACGGTTCGATTCCTGGTCAAAGCACATGCCTAGGTTGCAGGCTCGTACCGAATAGTATGAGCATAGAGGAAGCAGCCAACCAATGATTCTCTCTCATCAATGATGTTTCTTTCTCCCACTCTGAAATCAGTAAAATAAAAAAATAAAAAACAATAGAGCTTGGCAACTATGTAAACATATTATGGAAAGAAAAATAAAGTAACATAAAATGCATAAATGTACTGCATGAAACGGTCATGGGAAATGTAACACTGTACTTAAAATACTTGTAATTTAGCCCTTTACAGAAAAATGTTTGCTGACCTCTGGATTAGAAAATTCACTACTATCAAGATGGTATTTCTCTCAAAATTGATCTATAAATTCAATGCAATACAAATCATAACCCCAGCAGTCTTTTTTATAGAAACTGATAAGTTGATTCTAAAAGCTAAGTGCAAATATGAAGAACCTAGAATTCTGAAAAAGAAGAACAAAGTTGAAGGACTATTATGACCAGATTATAGTACTTAGTATCAAGCTGCAGTAAACAAAATAGTGTGGCTACTGTAAAAATAGACATAAGTCAATGGTACAGAACAGACAGTACAGAAATAGATCCATCTGTATTCAGTTAATTGATTTTCAACAAAGATGAAAATCAATACATCAGAAAAAGGATAGCCTTTTCAACAACTGGCTATCCATTCAGAAAAAAAAGTGAGCCCCAACCTTACCCCATGTGATACACAAAAATTAACCAAAACATACAAGCTAAAACTATAAGATATTTAGAAGAATACAAGAGAAAAATCTTGATGACCTTAGAAGAGGCAAAAATTTCTTAGCTAGGAAACAAAAACCATAAGCCATCAAAGAAAAAGATAACCTAAACATCATCAAAATTAAAAACTTCTGCTCTTCAAAAGATATTAAGAAAATGAAAAGGCAAGCCATTGACTAGCAGAAAATATTCACAATATCTATATCTGACAAAGGACTTGTATTCAAAATATATTAAAAATGTGTATCATTCAATAACGGGACAATAATCCAATTTTTTCAAGTGGGCAAGAGACTCAAAAAGAATAAATAGATAATTTAGGTGAAAAATATCCTTGGATTAACAAAAAAAAAACCTTCTATGTATTTCGATAGCTTTACAAAAGACAGACAAGTACCCAATAAGTACACAAGAAAGTTCCTCAATATTATTAGGGAAATGCAAATTACAACTTCAGTAGCTTTTATCAGGGCAACACAAATTAAAACCACATCCATTGGAAGGGCTAATTTAAAATGCTTAACAACAGCAAGAATAGGCAAAGACGCAGAGCAACTGGAACTCCTATACCTGGCTGGTAAGAATATAAATATGGGAGTGGAGGGGTGACCACTTGGAAAAGAATTTGACAGTTTCTTACAAAGTTGAACATATATTTACCATACAATCCAGCAATTCTATTCCTAGGTATTCATCCAAGAGAAATGTAAGCATGTCCACAAACGGTCTTGTTCATGAATATCTACAGCAAGTTATTTGCTATGACCAAAATGTGGAAACAACCCAAATGTCCAAGTGACTAGATGAACAAGTTGTGATACAGACATACAGAACATCACTAACAAATAAAAAGGGATATATCACTGCTATACCATCAACATGAATGAATCTCAAAAAGCTGATGATGAAGTTAGCTACTAAGAATTAATACTGTATGATAACGTTTATATCAAACTCTAGAAAAGATTAACAAATTACAGGAACAGAAAACAGACCAGTGGTTGCCTGAGACTGGAGGTGAGGTAAGGCTTTTTGAGACAGGTTGCAGGGAACTTTCTGGAGTGATAGAAATGTTCTACGTCAACTGAGGTACTAAGTATGTGGGTGTATGTTTGCCAAAGCTTTTCAAAATGTACACTTTAAAAAAATGGGTGTATTTTACCATACATAAATTATAACTTCATAAATCTGATTTTTTTTTAAAGAGAGGGAAGGGGAATTTCCAAGATGTTTGAAGTATATGATAGGGATATGGATGATTATGCTTCCTTTCTTTGCACTTTTTTGCATTTTTAAAAAGTTCTCTCTCCCTGACCACCCAAATCAATTTTAAACTAAGTACGATAAAATAATGATCAAATTGTTTTGCTCTTCAAAAAAATATATATTTGGCCCTAGCCCAGTGGTCGGCAAACTCATTAGTCAACAGAGCCAAATATCAACAGTACTGGCCGAAAACCGACTTCTGCGCATGGGCCACGAAGTTTCGATCACACTGTACGTGCACACCCACACGTGGTATTTTGTGGAAGAGCCACACTCAAGGGGCCAAAGAACCACATGTGGCTTGTGAGCTGCAGTTTGCCGATCGCGGCCCTAGCCGATTTGGCTCAGTGGATAGAGCATTAGCCTGCAGACCAAAGGGTCCAGTCAAGGGCACATACCTCAGTCACAGGATCCTCCCTGGCCTGGGCTCCTTGTTCCTCTCTGGCTTTAACACCCCTATTATATGGTTCTATTTTTTTTTTTACTGTCTTGCCTATACATTCCTAAAATCTAGGATCACAAATTAGTAACTTATAGCTTAAGTCCTGAAAATGCCTACATCAGAAATAACTAGTTAGGACACAAAGGAAAACAGAACAACATATGCTAATATAAAAAAGGATGTTCACAGTGTAAGAATTTGTGAGGATTAAAATAAATATAAATATATAAATACTAGAGGCCCGATGCACAAAAATTCATGCAAGAGTAGGCCTTCCTTCCCCCAGCTGCCAGCACCGGCTTCCCTCTGGCACCCAGGACCTGGGCTCCTTCCCTCCTCCAGCCACCCTCAGGCACCGAGGACCCAGGCTGGCTTCCCTTGGGCATCCCACAGGCACCCGGGACCCAGGCTGATTTCCCCTCCGGCCCCAGCTTTGTCAGAAAGGGCATCCGGTCTAATTAGCATATTACCTTTCTATTATTATAGATTATTATTATAGGTAATATATAAAGCCATATATATATATATATATATGCATGCATACACACACACACACACAAACACGATTTTTCCTATAATTATTTTACTGCTTCTTAATACAATTTTTAAAAACGTCTTCTGCCCTAGCTGGTGTGGTGATTCAGTGGTTGGAGCATCCGCCCGAGCACCAAAGGGTCTCAGATTTGATTCCAGATCAAGACACATACCAAGTTGCAGGTTCAATTCCCTGCCACCAGGGGTGGGGAGGGGGGGCAAGTACAGGAGGCAACCAATCAATGTGTCTCTCTCACATCAATGTCTCTCTCTCTCTCTCTCTCTCTAAAATTAGTCAATGGAAAAAATATCCTTTGGCGAGGATTAACAAAAAAAACTTGAATGTATTTCAATAGCTTTTCAAAATCCTCAAAAAGTTTTCACCTAAATTATTTATCTAAATCCTCACAACAACCCTGTGACATGGACAGGTCATATATTTCATGAACTTAATCTCTGAAGAAAAAATTTTTAAAGCATCACTGAATTTTATTAATTTATAAACACAGGATATCCCTGGGATTCTAAAATTTGGCATTTTGGGATTTTTAAATTAATACATGCTATCTACAACATGATAAAAGGCAAACAAAATGGAAAGAATATGTATGTCTAATATATAAGTCAAAGGTTTAACACTTTCATATTTAAAACCTGTCATAAATCAGTAAGAAAAAAATCTCAAGGGAAAAATGGGTAACTGAAAACTAAGAGGGAAAAGAGAAAATGTTCAAACCCACTAATAAACCAAAAGAAATACAGAGTGAGACAAGACAACCATTTTCACTATCAACTCATTAAAAAAAATGCTCAAAATCATTCAGTACATTTTTTATCTAAAATAAGTTCTTCAGAATCTAACCAACCAAACCCTTAGAACAAGAGCATACACATTTATTTAATAGTATGGTTACATACCTGACAACATACTAAGAAAATGAAGAGAGTTATAGCAGTCCATAGTACCTTCTCTCTAAACTGGATCTTACAACAAAAGATAAAGAATAGTCAATAAAAAAAACAAGAAAAAGCAAATATATAGCAAAAACCCCTATTAAAGCATAGCCAACATTCCCCATCATGACATGCTATTTTTAAGTCTTAAAATACTCTCACCCGAGTTAGCAGCAGCTAAAGCAAACAACTGAACTTCTCAAACATAACATTTATTTTTTAAACATAATTTTATTATTTCAAGAATAATTTAAATACAGGTAGTCGCCATCACATTATACCATGTTAACTAAAACTGAAAATGATGCAAAGCAAGACACAATCCAATATGCATGCATTTCAGTTATTCTAGTATTGTGCAAAGCTAGGACCCCGTGTAATATTACATGAACATCTATTTTTATAACATCAAAGCAATGAAAAAGGAATATACTTCTAAATAAAAAAGTTTAACAAAAGTTTTACTTATCTCTTTTTATGTCCCTATGCCTGTTCTTTTCATGAGAAACTGAAATTACAGTAGAAGAGGAATGCCTGGGAACTGGCCAGTTGGGGATTAACAATATTTCTGGAATTGAAATACCCTATCTCCAAAAGCAGGCAATGATGGAAGAACAATTTGATGAAGTCACAATATCTTCCGAATGCATTCCTGTGATTTCTCTTTGCATTAAATGAATAAAAAATGGAACGTATATACTTGCAAAGTTGTAATTCATTTATATAAAACAGCTGTACTTATCAAGAGATAAAGCCATTCATAGAATGGCAGTGAATCATACCACCAGCAAGTACAGCACATACCTCATACTACAGGAATTATAAAGATCATTACAGACAGGGAAACATTATATCTTACCTAACACACAGGCCAAAAAAAAAAAACACTTGGTTTGGAAATGTTAGAACTTAAAGAACAATTATTTTTGAAAGCACAAGATAAACTACCTAAACAGGTCTGTACTAGTTCTATTTACTTCATGCCTCTTGCAAGGAGGAGGAACAGGCAATATTTTTCCAAGTACAACCACACTAGGGTTGGGGAAAATAAATCAATCTTGCTAGTTTAGCAGAGTAAGTCCTTTAGTTACCTTCTATATTACTAAAATATTATACTTACTTTTCTTTCAGGTTTCTGAATTTCTGGTAGAACTGCACAGAAAGGTTTGATAACTTCTAAAAATTTGACTGTGGAAAAAAAAAAGAATTAATGTTCCTATTACATAATTTTAAAAATATATATTATCTTTTTACAGAATCAAATGCAAATGTTCTCCAACTTGTAATGGCAATCCCTCCCATTCCCCACTCCCAAAATTAATCATAATGCTCTCCATTTCAAATATAGAAAGGAAGAGAATTATTCTAGAGTAAAAAAAAAATCCAAAAGGTTTAAGGGCTCAGTCTGCAAAATCCTGATTTTGCTTCCTCATGATTGTATCCAACCCTTTTATATATAAAGAAATAATTCAATGAGTACAACTACATAAAAAATTTAAAAAAGCAAATGCAGCTTACTGTGGTACCCAGAACACAGTGCTTTCAAGAAGAAAATAAGAGACATCAAAGGAGGGAAAGTACAACAGGAAATGAGCTGAAACTGCAGATATGATTTATTTAAACTGAAAGATGATGCAAAGAGTGAGCAAGATCATGGAATCATCTTTATACATAACTTCTACTTCATTTCATTAACTCATTATTTATTGCTTGGTTGCTTTCCCACATAATGATCTGAGTACTTGTTTATGTACAATAAACAGCCCAGAGAATGACACTTACATTTCACCAGACAGTATTGTTTTCCCAGATTTATCTAATCCTATATAATAAAAGCCTAATATGCAAATTGTCCCCTTGACCAGGAGTTTGACCAGGGGGTGGGGCCAGCCAGCCAACTGCCCTCAGCCCCTCCCACTTGCAGGCCCCACCCTGGCCAGTGGCAGCAGCAGGCAGCCATGGGAAGGGAGGCCCCAGCTGGCAGCAAGCAGTCACTAGGGACCCTACTTGTGCACAAATTTAATGCACTGGGCCTCTAGTGTATCCACACTAATAAAAGAGAAAGGTGCAAATTGACCTTACCTTCACGATGCCCACCAGGCAATCAGGAGTATGCAAATTAACCCAACAAAGATGGCGGGTTAATGTGCATTCGCAGGTGCCGAATGGCCGGGGGCAGGGTGGGACGCTTGCATCGTTGCCATGGTGACAACACAGGCTTCAGCACCACCCCAGCCGCTCAGGGCCTCTAGGTAGCATCAGAAGGCGGCTTCGGCCTGAGCAAAGGTGGTGCCGGTAGCCAGGGAAAGGAAGGCCCATTCTTTCACGAATCTTCATGCATCGAGCCTCTAATATACACACACACACACACACACACACACACACACAAGCCTAAGTGGCCATCTGACTATTCAACCATCTGACCAGTAGCTATGACGTGCTAACCACCATGGGGCAATGCAGCAGACACTCAACGCAGGAGCTGCTGAGCTGCGGTGATTTGGCAGCTGCGGTTTTCGGGTGACGCACCCAGAACCAGAGGAGGGAGCCCAATTCCGGGGTGCATCACCCGAGAACCGCACTCTCCCAACCCAGGACTCCTCGGGGGATGCTGAAGAGCCGTTTTCGGCCAGATCCCTGCAGACCAGGCCAAGGGACCCGACCCCACCAGTGCACGAACCCGTGCACTGGGCCTCTAGTAATATTATAAGATAAACCAAGGTTCTTTAAGGAGAGACACTATCTTTTGGCATGACTGAAGTCAAGCCCTGCCAAAAAACTGGAGGATGGAGTTCAGGCTTGGCCAGCGTCTGCAATGTGCAGAAACACGAGGCCTCAACTAGTTATGATCATCTTCCCCCTACACACACTGCATTCTGTTCTAGTATCATGAAATTGTTTTAAAACTGACAATTACACTTCAGCAGTTGGCCAAAATCTATCTTGTTTTATAAAACCTCTCGAAAGGATGTCACTCAGACTTATTTGATAGAATTCTGAAATTCTCATGGGCAGATGTTTGTAACCGATACCATTTGGGACTATCTGAACCTGAAAGTATTCATCTCTGGTGCAAAACCAATAGCAACCACCTCAGGAAACTGCCTAGAGCCCCTTTATCCCTTCCCATCCCACCTCCATCCAAGCCACCCTCCCAGACTTGTTGCCCTGCCATGAGCACTTCTGCATTCACGAGCATACTGCTTTGGTATGCCACATGTCCACTCCTGAGCTGCAGAATTTCACCCATTCTGCTGTATATTAAAGGACAGGATCTCCTCTACTTCCTTCCTAGCTTCCCCGAACAGTCCGCTAGTTGGGCAATGGGCACACACTTGGACGTGCAGTTACCTATTCATCCTGAAAACATCCGAACACCTATGTAATGCATGTGATGGGGTGGAGGGGGGCCTGCAAAGATCCCCATAATACAAAGGCCTTGTCCTTAAGGCTTAAACCTTATACACAGAGTGAGCTTTCAGTAAACGCCTCAGAATGACTGAAATTAAAATTTTAAGGAAAACGCGATGCTCCCAACGTACTCATTGCTTCCCCTAAAATACGTGACATGCATCACTTTTCTAAAATTAAACAAGTCAGGGAGCTTTATTCATCACAACTAACACGTCAAGGAGGGGTGATTGGGCAATAAAAATGAGCTTTTTCAGCTCCTGAAAAATTCAAAGTTGTCCAGGTTTCGCCAGGTTCTCTGCCCGCCCCAAACACCAGCAGCGCCCCCGCGCCGGCCTCCGCGCCTCGCAGCCTGGAGCGCACACAGGGCCGGGGG